TTAATGCTGTCTTATTTTGTTCAGCACTTTGAGTTGCCCTGTGTATGAATTGTGCTATACAAATAAACTTGCCTCTCCTTGAGATCTAGACCTTTCAGAACACAGCTTTTGGAACACAGCTTTTAGAATGCAGCTGTATCCTGCGGCTGTGTTTGTACACCTTCAGGCGGCACGGTGGCTGAGTGGTTAGCACCTTCGCTTCTCAGCAAGAAGGTCCTGGGTTCGAATCCCGGTCAGAACAAGGGCCTTCTGAGTGGAATTTTGAAGTTCTCCCCTGTCTGCGTAGGTTTCCCCTACCACTAAAACCTTCACACACAAAAAATAAAGACAAAAAACTGAACAAGGTTTTGCGAATAATGTTGTGTCTGCAGTTACATACAGATTATACTGTATACATACATTATAGGCTTGATTTAAAGGTACACTGTGAAGTTTATAATCCTATCTAGCGTTGAGATCATTGCAAGCCCACTTCTACCACCGACACTACAGAAGCCTCTGAGGAGCATATGTCATCTCCAACACCAATTCATTCACCGGACCACTAAGGAAAGAATCCTTTAGTTTGAGAAATGACCGGATTCCTCCAAACATGTGCGTGGAGGTGGATATGTAAACAGTCTTATCATGGATTTATTATAATATACAGTTTTACAAACGCTGTGAGAAGAGAGACGCTCGGAGGAATGTTCTTGCACTTGTATAGAAACTGTTTTAGTCGAATTGTTTTTCTCAGCGACAATTGTTTACTGTTTTATTTGTTGTTTTCTGTCTGTATTTGTCTGTGCACACTGGTGACTTTTGCTAAAGTGTTCCAATGTGGTTTTCTTTACTGCAAATGGCAAAATAAATGAATCTGAATCTGAATGGGAAATCTGTGGGAGCTTAAAGGACAACTAACCCCAAATCAAAATTTTTTTACTCATAAACTGAATAAATATGTTTCTAGTGCTCTCTACATATCCTGACCATTTTTTTGACATTTTAGTGCAAATTAGATTAAGGCCCCGTCCCAACACCCACACTGCACCCTACGCCCTCCTATGAAGTGTGCATTTGTTTGAAGTGCGCGCAAGGGTTTGAGTGCGCAGGTTGCAAGCGTGCACAAAAGGCGGAATTGGGACAGTGCACACAGAGTGCAGGTTACGTCATCGACTCGTCAAGAGATGGTCATTTTCAGACCTAAACTTTTTTTAAATTAAAGGTAATTTTGTCTGACCCTTTGGGAAACAAATTGAATTGCTTCACACACGTTAAAATACATGTATATTAGTGGTTTTTAATTAGAGATAGCTGTATAATTTTAAGTTAAATGTGGGTAACTAACTATCTGGTCAGTTTTTATACATTCTAAGATTATTGTACTAAGTGTAAAGTTTAAATAGAATGTTATATGAACTCTTGCTTTAAAAAGTTATTAAATTGTTAAAACACAATGTCCGTAATTCTTCATCAGACGTTTATGCTTCTTTCCAAGTAACATAGCAAAACTTATTTACACACATACTGCACATATATTTCAAAATGTATATTTAAATGCATTTTCCCGACGTTTTAGTGTGTACCGCAAAGAATTATGGGCAATATCCTTCGCCAGAGTGCGCATAGATGCAGGCTACGGCGAAGTGTGCATCAGGGGCGCAAAGGGGGCGGGGCCAAAGACCTCCCTGGAGAATTGGGACACCCTACGCACTCGCACCCTTTATCGGGAACGCGCAAATGAGGGGCGCGAGGGTGGAAGTGCGAGTATTGGGACGGGGCCTATATCTCACTTTTGAGCCTAAAACAGTCTGTGGCGCCCTCTCTGCCCTTTTGGTGACACTACATTTGAATTTTGTGCCTGGCCTCTCATTGGCTGTTTCCAAAACGCTAGGCATCGGGCCTACATACAACCAAATTGGATCTCAAATGGGCCGGACCAGAAGATGCTCTACAAAAATACCCGAAAATGGTACAAAGTCCAACTTTTTGTGCACATAAACACATTTATATAAAAGTTCCTTTAAAACACTGTTCTTAAATACTCACTCAGTTTTAACTGTAAATCTGTTACAAACTTAAATGTAACAGTGAGTTTTTCATAGTGCAAATAATTTAATGTATTTGCAATATTACTGTAAATGGCATTTCAAAATATTTATATTCATATTTGTATGTTAGCTTTGTTTTAAGGCTCATTACAGAAAAAACTTGCTCACAAAGGTAAAGTAGGCAAATAGAAAAAGCACTTTAACACAGCACCTCAGCTTAACCATCTTCAGTGTGGTAAGGTCCATGGTTATGTTATTATCACGTTAACCATCTTCAGTGTGGTAAGGTCCATGGTTATGTTATTATCACATTAACCATCTTCAGTGTGGTAAGGTCCATGGTTATGTTATTATCACGTTAACCATCTTCAGTGTGGTAAGGTCCATGGTTATGTTATTATCACGTTAACCATCTTCAGTGTGGTAAGGTCCATGGTTATGTTATTATCACGTTAACCATCTTCAGTGTGGTAAGGTCCATGGTTATGTTATTATCACGTTAACCATCTTCAGTGTGGTAAGGTCCATGGTTATGTTATTATCACATTAACCATCTTCAGTGTGGTAAGGTCCATGGTTATGTTATTATCACATTAACCATCTTCAGTGTGGTAAGGTCCATGGTTATGTCATTGTCACAGAGAAAGCATCAAACTGACCGTGATTCAGTTGAAATGAACAAAACAACTTCCATAACGTGATCCATCCTTAACAACTGCAGCAATGTCTCTCTGCAAAATACAGTCAAATGTCCAAAAATCATCACCTCATTTTGGCTTTGTCACAAGACCTGCCTTAACCATCGGTACCAGGCTGAGAGCAGGACCAGTCCACACTGTCCAACACACCAGCAACAACAGCAGAACCAGCAGCAGCACCAGCAGCAGCGCTCAAAACTCCTCTGTGATAGTTTCAGTAACACCACACATGAATATGCGACATGAGTAACATCAGTCTTTTATCAATGGCAACATGTTGGTAAAAGCGAGTGGTTTCAGCAGTGGCGAGCCTGTATGAGAGTTTTAACAAACTCTCTCACTGTGCGGCTGCGATGCTAATGCTATGTTTTTAGCTTGTCTTTACAGTAGCAGTACTGACCTCTTGCTCTGGGCACAGACAGACTGTTTCTTCAGGGCCAGACATGTTTATAATCTGTCTTCTCAATTCTCCGCTCAAAGTGCCGTATTTTTTGACGAGTCTTGTACTTTAAGCTGTTATTCCTTCAGCACCGCTCTGGTGGAGCCAGCTGCTGCAGGACCGAAGCAGGTCTGAAGCAGGTCTGAAGCAGGTCTAAAGCAGGACTAAAGCAAGACCAAAGCAGGACTAAAGCAGGACAAAAGCAAGACCAAAGCAGGAATAAAGCAGGACTAAAGCAAGACCAAAGCAGGAATAAAGCAGGTCTAAACAGGACTAAAGCAGGTCTAAAGCAGGACTAAAGCAGGTCTAAAACAGGTCAAAAGCAGGTCTAAAGCAAGTCTTAAGCAGGTCTAAAGCAGGTCTAAACTAGGACTAAAGCAGGTCTAAAGCAGGACTAAACAGGACTAAACAGGACTAAAGCAGGTCTTCAGCAGGACTAAAGCAGGATTAAAGCAGGTCTAAAGCAGGTCTAAACTAGGACTAAAGCAGGTCTAAACTAGGACTAAAGCAGGTCTAAAGCAGGATTAAAGCAGGTCTAAACTAGGACTAAAGCAGGTCTAAAGCAGGAATAAAGCAGGTCTAAAGCAGGAGAAAAAGCAGCACTAAAGCAGGACTAAACAGGACTAAAACAGGTCTAAACAGGACTAAAGCAGGTCTTCAGCAGGACTAAAGCAGGTCTAAAGCAGGATTAAAGCAGGTCTAAACTAGGACTAAAGCAGGTCTAAACTAGGACTAAAGCAGGTCCAAAGCAGGACTAAAGCAGGTCTAAAGCAGGAATAAAGCAGGTCTAATGCAGGAGAAAAAGCAGGTCTAAAGCAGCACTAAAGCAGGTCTAAAGCAAGACTAAAGCAGGTCCTGCACAGATTATTATCATTCAAAGTAGGACTGGGCGATAAAACGATAACGATATATATTGCGATAGACACGGGGACACAAGACACTCGAAAACAGCCAAAACAGGAGCTAAACCAGGATTAAACAGGACTAAAGTGGGGGAGACTGCTTGTGAACATTTGGCTCCAGCCTCATTTCCCCATGACTGTAAACAAGGCTGCTAACATGTGTTAGCCGACATGACAAATGTATTTATTTACGTTAAAAAAAATAATTAAAAAAAATCAATATATCGTTAACGACCAATATGAATTACTTATATTGTGATATAGTTTTCAGCCATATCGCCCAGCCCTAATTCAAAGTATCAAGAATAAGATATTAGTCAATACTTAAACTATCTACTCATTTCAGAAAGTATAGATCTTGAAAATAATAAAACAGTCAACATGTGAGACTCTTAGAACAGTTTTAAATATATATAAAACATTACCATTATTAGTACCAAAATATATTTTTTTAAATTTATTTTTACCCGTGCTAATGCAGGAAGGTCAAAAGGCTATTATAATGATACACACAAACAAAACAGAAATACACTTTGACATTTTATTGAACACAAAGTAAGTCAGTCAAAATTATATCATATCATAACACAAAGGAAAAAAGGCACATTTGTTAATTTGTCACTCAATAAACCCAATTAGACCAAATCAAATATTCAGCACAAACTCAACAACAATGAAAATGTTACGCAGAAAATTTAACTCTGAAACTACACTGTGCATTAAAACCAAGGAAATTCTGGAAAACATCCCCAAAAAGTTTGTTTAAAAGTGATATAATCACCAGCTTAAACTGGTGAATTTATCTGCAATACAGAAAAACATGCTGACTGCAGGTAAACAGTGTGTTGCTATGGTAACTAGCACCGGCTCCAACAGCTCTGACACAGGCCCAGTCCACATTCACACAGATGCACTGGAGTCCGTGGGGCAGTCAAATTAATTCTCCACAATCTGAAAACACACACACAACATGCGAATGAATGAAAAAACCGGAACCCAGAAGTCCTGAGGTTTTAACATGGCCACATGGGTGGAGCTGGCTGGATGATTATAAAGTCACTACTGCCCATCATAACGTCACTTTAACATATTGCTGGGTTGCAACCACGTGACCAAAGGGGGCGTGGCATGGGGCCGTAGGACAGGAAGTGTTTTTCCCCAATTAAACAGAATGGGCGATGCGCGAAAACGCACACACAGGAGCATTTCGTGGCTTAATATCACTCTTATTTTGAGTGAAAACTATTTTCAATGTAGAGTTTGAATGAGTCACATTTTTTCAACAATGAGAAAGATCAAGGCTGTTATAGTGACGACAGTGGAGCTCGCCCCTCTTGTATCAACAGAACCACGTCTGAGACGATAGTTCTGGTCAATAATACAATTAATAGGAAACAAATTTTACTTTTAACAACATTTGAGGCGAGAAATATGACCCTTTTTGTCATTTCTGTGACTTGTTATGCTCCGGGGGGGGGGGGGGGGGGGGGCTCCCTGGTGTTAAGCTAACAGCGGGGGGCTGCAGCGAACGCAGCCGTCTTGTGGGCACGGATCTTGGATACAACTTCATACATTACCCTGGTCCTCACCATCCCAGTCGTGGAAATAACAATGAACAATGACTCCTATAATACAATGACTAGAATATACTGTATGTGAGAAGACTGATTGTAAAGCCTACTATTAGCTTTGTTACACATGTACATGTTGGTTTAAGACAACTTTTGGCTTTAAAACACGTATTTAACATTTCTTTCTCTCTGTTCCCTCGGTTACTACAACCGTATACTACACAAAAATACTGCATTGTATCTATGAAAGTCAGCTAAGTAAAGACTGTGGACTGTCAGCTGTGTCTGCGGCCGCAGATGCTACGCAGGCTAATGCTAATGCATTTCTCCCGTTCCTTATAAGGCATTTTCCAAAAATTGAAACCTGTTTGTTAAATAAATTTTAGCGAAATAGAGACTCCATAAGTTCCCCACTTGATATGAGCAGTTGCCACAACTGTACACGCCACAAAAAAATTGCATATTGACTCGAATGAGTGCATTTTTACACTGTTCTTAAAGAAGCCATACCCATTTTTTTTTCTAATTAGTTCATAAAAATGCTTTTTACTACATACAAGTTGTATCATAATACATAATTTAATTGAAAACTAGAGGTCATTGATTCAGTTGTGTATGAAACTCAGGCCGTGAAAAGTGCTACGTAGAGTCTTAGAGGGACGCTCGTTCTCCTCCACTCACAGAACGAGCAGCCGCGTCCTCTAGCCTCTATGGCGCTGCTTAACACCAGGGCTTCGACTTCAAAATTCGAATATAATTCTAAAATAAACAATATATATATATTTGACCACATATTAGACAGCTCTTATAATTCGAAATGTATTTAATGACTGCAAAAAAATAGTTATCTCCCAAAGGTTTCAGCGGGACGTCACAGCTAAGCTAGCTAGCTGTTTCATGGTAACTTCCGGGTCTTTCGCGATCGCTTTTTGTCACATCAAAACAGTATTTTTGTCATGAATACGTTAACAGCAAATTCTGAAAAATGTCCATGCGTGTATGTTACGTATGTATATGCATAATGTTTTGATTGATATTTATCTGTTTATTGAGTGTGGCTAGCTCGGCTAGTTTCTCTGCACAGACAAGTGTGCAGAGAAACTGCACACTGCACCAGTGGGGGCGGATCCCAGCTCAAAAGTGGCCAAAATGACGTGCGCTGACATGCTTGCAATACCACCCCGGGCCGATGGGGGTGGACCCAGAAGAAGAATTAGCCAATGCTAACATACAGCAATGGCAGACATCCAAGCCCCGGCGATTCAAGATGGCGCCCTATTCAAATGAATGGTTGTGCTCAGTGGCGCTTTGTGACAGCATGGGGGCTGAAAGATTAGCGGAAGTCGCCTGAAACTCGCAAAGATCTATGGGAATCTCGCCTGTATTTGGGCATCGTCTGGTCCTCCCGGTTCTGCGCAATGGATGATCGCCCATAATGCTTTGCGCCAAATACGCGTGTGTGGGTCTCACACCGGGTCTCACGCACGTGCACAGAGGGGCTCGGCTGCGCTCTGACCAATCAGAGCAGTTCATCAGAGCAGGAGTAAGAGCGAGAGCCAGACGAGCAGAGTTTGTGGCACTAAAGTGTGGATTTAAAGAAAACCGAAGGATTTAAGAAGAAAAAAAGTTCAGGATGACAAGGGACACTAAAATCCCCACAAAATCCAACCTTTATGAAAGCTGTAGGTTCTCTGTCAGCTGAGGTTGAGCTGTTTTAATATGCATTGAGTTCTATGGGGAAAATTTCTAGGTAGCCCACGTGAATTTAGTCTGGTTCAGTCTGCAGTACTGCGAGAATCCACCGAGCACATGAGTTATTCAGCTACAAGCTAGTAATACCCTATCCAGTTAATATGATAGATCCATGCAGACCTCTCGAAAACGTCTTTACAGGATGGACCAAAATTTGGCTCTTGGCCCAAAGCTCCGTTCCACATGTGTGTCAATGCTGATGGGGGTGATTTTTTTTGGACCACTCTAGTTTACTTGCTGTGAATTTTTGAAGTCTCTCGTTCAAATGAATGGAGCTGCGCTGGCTGAGATTTTTGTTATACCGGCATATTGCGATAGGTCATTATGTCATCAAATTGCGCAGGCTCTGATGCCAGCAGAAAGGACCAAAACAAGTGTCGAAGACGGTCTGGAAAGCTTCTATAAGTGAGTGTGTGGACGGTGCAGCCTCCCACAACTTGGAATCTCTCTCGTGACGTCGGACACCTCTTCATCTGCTTGATTCCAAAGAGATCGCCCGAGACTGAAACATTCACCCATCATTTACATTTGATTCAATCTAATAAATATGAAAACCAGTTTGAGGACACTCCACATTCAACCACATTTATGGACATTGGTCTCTGTTGTGAGTTAGGGCGAAAATGAAATAGATAAATGAAATAGAATTGATCCAAGAACTTACCCAATAAGCGTCCATTCTCTGGTTGTAGCGCTCCGCTACTGATCATGTGCAGATTCTGCACCACCCCGCCGTTGTGTATGAATATGTCTCCGTGGCAATGAGTGGAGACGCTCACGTGAAGGGCCAGCTCCTTCTTCACTCTGGTGTCGCCACGCTTGAGAAGTTGCCGGCCCAGGATTTGCCGAAACAGGTACAGGTGGATTTTCTTGTTGAGGTCCTTCGGGAAATCTTGGATCAACTGCAAGTTTAGAGATATCAGTTTAGGGATGTCACACTCACTTTACAGTTCAATGGCACTGAGTTTTTTTTTTATCATTGCATTTCCTGTGATTCAACATGTTGCACACTTCCAGTTGTTTTGCACCTGAGTGATTCTACTCATGCCAAATGTGAGATCAATAGAGTTTATATTATCTTTGAACTGTGTGATTCTCTGATCTGTGTTGACAAATTCAATAGTTTTGTAAAGTACACAAGAAAATAAGGAATTGAATTCAATTTATCCAAAGCGCATCTCACCGCGCGGTGCTTGATCCCAACATGGTCATGGTTGATCCCCTGAGACGGCCGGGTCTTTGTGGCGTAGCACCGCAGATTTCTGCTGAGGTCCTCTGGAAACTTGTGTTTTCTGATTAAGTTGTTCAACGCCTTCGTGTGAATGTGGATATTTGAAGGAGCGGCGTCTTTCGACACAATCCAAAGGATGAGGACATGAAACAGAACTGCAGAATAATCAGACAAAAACTTAAAGATACTCATGATTTGCTCTTCAAACTTTCCTCTCAGTTTTTTGCATGTTAGACATTTAATTATGACTTTGCCAATGCATCTTTTTGCTCCCACAACCCACAGGCCACTTTCCCGGACAGCGCCCTCCGTAAAATATCGTCCCTGATGATTTACACTTTCATGATGGTGACGCACGGGGAGGGTCGTGATGTAGTGACTTCCTGGTAGAATAATGGGGGTTGTTTCCTTTACTTCCAGCAGTGACCGACTAATACGACCGCCCACTCTTAGTAGCTTGTCTTCTCCTAGGATGTGGTTGAGCTTCACCAGCGTTCCCAGCGCTCTGAGCCTTTTGAGATGCTAGTGCAAAGTGTCTTTGCCTCTGGACGCACATCTGTGTCATTGTCTGGGTCCTGCAGTTCAAGCACAGGCTGCTCTTGGATCTCTGAGGAGCGCTGCAGGAAGGGTGGACCTGTGAACCATGTGGTATTTTGTAAGTCAGCGGCTGGAACAGAGCGTGAGCCATGGTGTGCAGGGTTCTGGTCTGTAGTGACAAAATGCCATTGCTCTGGATTTGTTGACTCTAATACGACGCACACGGTTATTCACATACACATAAAAATGCCTGGACTGGTTGTGGATATAACCTAGGACCACCTTGCTATCTGTGTAGAATGTGGTTTTGTCTATGGGGAGGTCCGTCTCTTCACTTATGTGCTCTGCCATTTCAACCGCCATCACGCGGCGCAGAGTTTGAGCCTAGGGACCGTGAGCTCGGGCTGTTGAGCGAGTCGTGCCTTACCTAGGACAAACCCAACCTCTGCTGTGCTAGCCTGGCCTTTGCCATCCGTAAACTCCGGTCAAATCTTTTTTCCCGGGATGTACGTCTGGGTTTGCTCCCACTGGCTGCGATTCAATCGGTAGAATTTCATCCTACCATTCAGCGAGCGGGGGAGGCGGGTGTTGTAGGTGACGTCAAGCATTTGCGCCGGTTGTAGTCACTGTAGTTTGGCAATGGCGGCATATGCAAAAATAAACGAAGCTCTTCAATCCATTCTGGCTTTGCTCCCAAATATCCAGAAATTGAAGTCGGAGCAAGAGAAATGTTTAGCAAATTTCATTGCTGGTAAAGATGTCATGGCTTTACTCCCCACGGGATTCGGCAAAAGCCTTATTTTCCAGTTACAGTAGCTCCGTTAGTGGTGAAGGAGATAGCTAGGCTGAATGCTAGTGAAGCTAATCCTATCGTTGTAGTCGTTTCCCCTCTTTTGGCTTTAATGGAGGATCAAGTCAAGGAGGCTGAGAAGTTGGGAGTTAGTGCTGGACAGCTCGATGTGCACGACGATCGTGACATTTTGGAAGGACATTTCAGCCTGGTATTTGGGAGCCCTGAGTCTTGGCTACTCAACTCCAAATGGCGACGAATGCTAACCTCGTCTGTTTACCAAGACAACATCATTGGCATCGTCGTTGATGAAGTCCATGTTACATATAAGCTCAGAATCAGAATCATTTTTATTGCCAACGTAAGTAACGGGAGGTCACAGACTTGGAAATTGCTTTGGCTCAGTGCAACAGTCAAAAAGAGATAATAAAAATAAGAATAAAAAACACTTCTAAAGAATAAATTTAAATTTAAAATAGAGTTACAGTTACTATTTACAATATACAAGTGCACATGGTGCACACAATGTAAGGTGACAGCAGTACAGTGAAGTAAAGTGACGTATGATGGGCAGTAAAGTGACTTTATAAAGGGCGGGGGACAGGTTAAGAAGTGTTCAAGAGTCCAACAGCAGAGGGGAAGAAACTGTTCTTGTGGCGGGAGGTTCTAGTCCTGATGGACCGCAGCCTCCTGCCTGAGGGGAGTGGTTGGAATAGTCCATGTGCAGGGTGAGAGGGGTCGGCTGTGATACGACCAGCCCGGCCTCGAGCTCGGGCGACGTACAGGTCCTGCAGCGATGGAAGGCTGCGGCCGATCACTTCCTCTGCAGAGCGCACAATGCGCTGTAGTCTCTGTTTGTCCCTGACTGTGGCTCCAGCGAACCACACGGTGATGGAGGAGGTGAGGATGGACTCGATGATGGCCGTGTAGAACTGCACCAACATCTGTGCAGGCAGCTTGGCTTTCCTGAGCTGCCGCAGGAAGTACATCCTCTGCTGGGCCTTCTTGATGAGGGAGCTGATGGTCGGCTCCCACTTGAGGTCCTGGGTGATGGTGGTGCCCAGGAAACGGAAGGACTCCACAGAGGTGATGGGGGAGTCCATCACGGAGGGTGGGGGCGGGGGGACAGTGCTCTTCCTGAAGTCCACAATCATCTCCACTGTCTTCTGGGCGTTCAGCTCCAGGTTGTTACCACTGCACCAGGACACCAGCCGGTCCACCTCCCTCCTGTAGGCGGACTCATCGTTGTTGGAGATGAGTCCAATGAGGGTGGTGTCGTCCGCGAACTTGATCAGCTTCACGGAGTCGTGGCTGGAGGTGCAGTGGTTGGTGTACAGGGAGAAGAGCAGGGGAGAAAGAACACAGCCCTGTGGGGCTCCTGTATTTATAATCCGAGAGTCCGAGACATTCTTCCCCAGACGCACTCGCTGCTTCCTGTCCGTCAGGAAGTCAGTGATCCACCTGCAGGTGGAATCGGGCACGTTGAGCTGGGAGAGCTTGTCCTGGAGCAGGGATGGCAGGATTGTGTTGAAGGCAGAGCTGAAGTCCACGAACAGGACCCTGGCGTAGGTCCCCGGGGAGTCCAGGTGCTGTAGGATGTGGTGGAGGGCCAGGTTAATGGCGTCGTCTACAGATCTGTTGGCTCTGTAGGCGAACTGCAGTGGGTCCAGGAGGGGGGAGGTGAGGGACTTGAGATGGGAGAGAACCAGGCGTTCAAATGACTTCATGACGACAGACGTAAGTGCTACAGGTCTGTAGTCATTGAGTCCTGTGATCCTGGGCTTCTTCGGGACGGGGACAATGATGGAGGATTTGAAGCAGGCCGGGACATGGCAGGACTGCAGAGAGGAGTTGAAAATGTCCGTGAACACAGGAGTAAGCTCACTGGCGCAGTGTCTCAGAGTGGCCGGAGACACGTGGTCCGGGCCAGGAGCTTTGCGGGGGTGCAGCCTCAGGAAGAGTTGTTTAATCTCTTTAGCGGCTATTGTTAGGCTGGGGGCAGGGCTGATGGGTGGGTCGTTAGAGTAGTGGGGGGTGGGGGAGGGAGAGGTGTCAGGGGCAGCATCAAAGCGACTGAAAAATAAGTTCAGATCGTCAGCTAGCTTGTGGTCATCGGCACAGGGGGGGGCTTTGGGTTTGTAGTTGGTGATCTCCCGTAGGCCCCTCCAGACAGAAGCAGTATCGTTGTTACCAAACTGCTCCTGTAGTCGTTCTCTGTGCCGGGACTTGGCTGCTTTCAGTTCTTTCCTGAACTGATATTTAGCTGCTTTGTAGCCGCTGCGGTCCCCCTCCCTGAAAGCAGACTCCTTTGCTTTCCTGAGCTGCCGGAGTTTAGCAGTGAACCAGGGTTTGTCGTTGTTATAGATGACCCTGGTCCTTGTTGGAATGATGCTATCCTCACAGAAGTGGATGTATGACGTCACAGTGTCCGTATATTCATCCAAGCTGTCTGTGGCAGCTCTGAAAAGGTCCCAGTCTGTAGATTCCATGCATGCGCGCAGCTCTTCCACAGCTTCATCAGACCACACTTTGGAGCTCCTCACTGCAGGTTTCGAGAGCTTTAGTCTCTGTCTGTAAGCAGGAACCAGATGTATCATGGAGTGATCTGAGAAGCCGAGGGCTGGCTTGGGAACAGCGCGAAAAGCTCCGCGCACGGTGGTGTAACAGTGATCCAGAGTGTTCTCCTCTCTGGTCGGGCATTTGATAAACTGTCTGTATTTGGGTAATTCCTGGCTCAAGTTTCCCTTATTAAAATCCCCCAGGATAATAATCAGAGAGTCCGGGTATAAGCGTTCCATACACAGTACTTGCTCTGCGAGTGCGCGCTGAGCCTCGCGCGCGTCCGCGCATGGCGGTATGTAAACAGAGGCAAGAATGAATGAAACAATTTTCCGCGGGGAGTAATATGGTTTACAATGAATGAAAAGATATTCCAGAGCAGGAGAGCAGTGCTTGGAGATCACTGTCACATCGTTACACCAGTTTGTATTGACGTAGAAACAGAGCCCTCCGCCTCTGCTCTTCCCTGAGAGCGCACAATGGCGATCCGCGCGAAACAGCCCAAAGCCCTGCAGCTCCAGAGCGCAGTCCGGGATCCGCTCATTTAGCCAGGTCTCAGTGAAGCAGAGGACACAGGATGTGGCGAAGTCCTTGTTTCTTCTCATGAGCAGGCTGAGTTCGTCCATCTTATTGCCCAGTGAGCGTACGTTGGAGAGAAAAATGCCGGGGAGAGCCGTGCGCGCTCCTCTCCTCCTAAGACGCACGAGCAGGCCTCCTCGCTTTCCCCTTTTACGGGCCCACACTTTTTTGGCTAGAACATGAACTAAATCAGCCGCAGATGCCAAGAAAACAGGCAATAGGTCCATGGGAACGGTGGGTCGGATGTTCATAAGTTCCTCACGGGTGTAGGTAAGTGAACTTTAAAACAGCAGAAATTAGGCTTTTTTGCATACTCAATCGGGTAGACTATTGTTGCTTGATGACAATTTTGCTTTCCGTTTCTTTTGTCTCAGGGGTGAAGCGTCCAAAGGCGAGTCACCATTCCGAGAGAGTTTTTCTAAACTTGGTGAGCTGAGATCCATCATGAAGGAAGGTGGGTTGAATGTTTTCTGTGTTGTTCCTGCTTGACATGTTAACAAATCCGTGCCCTGGATTCAGTGCATTGTTGTTAAGAGTAACGTTAGTACACACTCGACTGTACAGTACTAAACGTACTGTGCATTCAGTAAAAGGAAGTTAAAAAACATGCAGTAAGAGACATGAAAAATGCTGCAATCTTATAGTTCCAGAAAAAAAATCAAACTGGTAAGAATAACCACTATGTAGCCAACTCTCGGCCCCCGGCAACCCCACTGTGCAAGTGTAGTTTTCAGTTTATACATGTTTTTTATAGGTAGATTCTAAGGGACTTTTATTTTACAATTATGATTTCTTTTTTTAAGAGTTGTTGTAACGAGTACATTTCTCCATTGTGAGAACAATAAAGTGTTATCTTAAGTCAGACACCACAGTACATGCATTGCAGCTAGTGTTATAGAGCAAGACACAGGCAGAAGAACCACACACAAATACACACTGTCATCAATACATGTCATATTAGTAATACTGTTAATGTAAATGTGGGTGATATATTTTAATTTTGTAAATTTGTCTGACAGGTACACCTTTCTTGGCGTTGACTGCCTCTGCTGACATAAAATCCAGAAACCGAGTCACTAGACTACTTCATATGGACAGTGTCGTTCACATCATCGCTAGCCCTAACAAGACCAACATCCGTCTTGGATTGTGCAAGGTGCCCAGCAATGAACTGAACTGCTTAGACTGGATTGTGCAACATGTAAAGGACAAGGGCTCAACCATGCAGCCTGTACTTATTTACTGTCAAAAAATGACAACAGTGGGGAGGGTCTTTTCTTACTTCAAGGGGGAACTGCAACAGTACGCCTGGGTAGACTGTGATCAAGAGCATAAACGTGAGAACCTCCTGATAGGTATGTTTCACAGCAAGTCCCTCCCCCAAAACAAGGACAGAGTGTTGGCTTCACTGAGGGGGCAAGGGAATTGCCGTGTAGTAGTTGCAACAACAGCTTTGGGAATGGGCCTGAATTTCCCTAATGTTTCACATGTGGTGATGTATGGTGTTCCAGGGCACCTAGAGTCCATAATACAACAGGTGGGGAGGGCTGGAAGAAATGGTCAGCCAGCTCATGGCATCATATACAACACTGGAAAGAATTATAAGACTGAAGAAGAGGTAAAAGAAGTGCTTGCTCTTCGCAATACATGTTTCAGGAAAATTATTTTCTCACATTTTGAGGCTGAACCCAGCCTTGTAGAACCAGGCCATCTACTGTATGTTGCACTTACTGTCATACTGTTTGTTCTTGTTCATCTGGCACATGCAAAGAACCCACCCCAGATTATGAACAGATTCAGGGCAAGCGGGTTAACTTGAGATCTAGGCACGTGACTGCAGAGGACAAGTCTTTGATTGCATATTTGCTGAATGGATACAGAGCCAGCCTAATCACTCCATCTACTCGGCTCTTCACCTCACCTGAATTGTGCACTGGATTCAGTCAACAACTGGTGGACTGTGTATTGAACCATTCTCAGTTTATATTTGACCTGTCATACATCATTGCCAACATTCCTGTCTTCAGATTGGAGCATGCCAAGGAGATTTTAAATATCATAAGTGATGTGTTTGGAGATGTGGATGCAGATCAGCATGCAGAACAGCCATCCGATTCAGGGGGGTTACACTGCGCCAGATCTTTATTACAGTGGCTATTTTGACACTGCTGATGATGATGATGATGATGAACTCAGGAGCCATGTTAGTAGCTCAGAGTCAGAGCAGTAATTTCAATGAGAATTTCATTTACTTCTGTGTGTTCACATCATTGGTTACTCATTGTGCATATTTTTGGAAAAGTTTCTCATTTGTACATTTCTACAACCCAAAACTGTCCTTAATAAACCTGATTATTTTCTTCAAAACATGTTTGTAGGATCTTAATTCAAGTATATAACAGGATACATGTCTATGGCTTCTGTAGAAAGGTTAACTAGGAAAGACATACAAAATATACTGTAGTGTACTGTAGATTTTTTATTTAACTAATGTGTATGTACAACATCTATATACATGTTACATAGTTCAAGCAAGCCTGAGATCTGTACGAAACAAGAACGAGGGTATGGTAAAACCAGGCTAGGTAAGAACAAAGCGGCGTCTTGTCAATTATCAAACCGAGCTTTAGCAAATGCAATGCTATATTGTCTTCCTTCTTTTCGAATACTAATTTGCTGTTTCCAATAACTCCACCAACTCTTAAATTTGTCTCGCAAAGCCTGCAGCTATCGTTCACAGCCATCTTCGTCTCCAAACCCGCATTTCTCTCTCGGATACAACTTCCTTAGCCTGGTTTTACCATACCCTCGTACTTGTTTCGTACATCCCGGGAAAAAAGATTTGACCGGAGTTTACGGATGGCAAAGGCCAGGCTACAACTTCCTATAAGCGTCACTTCTTCTTCTTCTTCTTGAAATCTCCGGCATGCTGTATGCAGGAATGCACAAGGCTGCCCCCAAGAGTTATGATAGCTTGCGTCACTCACTCGGGCGCATAACATACGTCACAACCAAACGCTAGTGATTGGATAAAATCAGATCCAATCGTTTCTAACTTTAAACAAAGTTCACCCCTCCCACTTGTAAACGGAGCTCAATTGAGAAAGTCCAGACCCTTTGTACGAAACAAGTACGAGGGTATGGTAAAACCAGGCTACTGCTGTGCCATCTTCAGCCGTAACCTTGAGATAGGAGACTGGACATACAGTGCCTTGCGAAAGTATTCGGCCCACTTGAACCTTTCAACATTTTGCCACATTTCAGGCTTCAAACATAAAGATATAAAAAAAATATTTTTTGTCAAGAATCAACAAGTGGGACACAATCGTGAAGTGGAACGAAATTTATTGGATAATTTAAAAAAATGTAACAAATAAAAAACTGAAAAGTGGGGCGTGCAATATTATTCGGCCCCCTTGCGCTAATACTTTGTAGCGCCACCTTTTACTGCAATTCCAGCTCCAAGTCGCTTGAGGTATGTCTCTATCAGTTTTGCACATCAAGAGACTGGAATTCTTGCCCATTCTTCCTTGCAAAACAGCTCGAGCTCAGTGAGGTTGGATGGAGAGCGTTTGTGAACAGCAGTCTTCAGCTCTTTCCACAGATTCTCGATTGGATTCAGGTCTGGACTTTGACTTGGCCATTCTAACACCTGGATACGTCTATTTGTGAACCATTCCATTGTAGATTTGGCTTTATGTTTTGAATCATTGTCCTGTTGGAAGATAAATCTCCGTCCCAGTCTCAGGTCTTTTGCAGACTCCAACTGGTTTTCTTCCAGAATGGTCCTGTATTTGGCTCCATCCATCTTCCCATCAATTTTAGCCATCTTCCCTGTCCCTGCTGAAGAAAAGCAGGCCCAAAGCATGATGCTGCCACTACCATGTTTGACAGTGGGTATGGTGTGTTCAGGGTGATGAGCTGTGTTGCTTTTACGCCAAACATATCGTTTTGCATTGTGGCCAAAAAGTTCGATTTTGGTTTCATCTGACCAGAGCACCTTCTTCCACATGTTTGGTGTGTCTCCCAGGTGGCTTGTGGCAAACTTTAAACGAGACTTTTTATGGATATCTTTGAGAAATAGCTTTCTTCTTGCCACTCTTCCTTAAAGGCCAGATTTGTGCAGTGCACGACTGATTGTTGTCCTATGGACAGACTCTCCCACCTCAGCTGTAGTTATCTGCAGTTCATCCAGTGTGATGATGGGCCTCTTGTCTGCATCTCTGATCAGTCTTCTCCTTGTTTGAGATGAAAGTTCGGAGGGACGGCCGGGTCTTGGTAGATTTGCAGTGGTCTGATACTCCTTCCATTTCAATATAATTGCTTGCACAGTGCTCTATGGAAGCCCGTTTCCGCCATGTAAAAAAAAAGCATACAGAAAGTCAAAATTTTAGTTTAAAACTCAAAATTACGAGTTTTCAACTGCGCATGTGCAGTTGTCTGGAACGGTCTCCGGACATCCTTCACCTGCAGATTATGTGAAGATATTGCCTACAGTGACCACTGCATCCTTGAAGTAGCCAGAAATAATGTTGTTTGATTGATTCTGTAAAACTTTCCTGTTTAAGCCCCAGACCGCGGTCATAGGACGCAGGGGGGAGCTGTCTTTTTATTTATGTATGTTAAATTCAATTTACATATATACAACATTTAAATCAAACGACTTCTTATTTCGACATAGTAACAAATAATGTGAGCAATATGTTTTTATAATAAATCAAAGGAAAATGAGCCATCGAGACATTCCAATCCAATCTGCTATAGACCACTCTGACCAGACGATGACGCTGAGGGGCCCACACGGAGCGAGTATTTCCACGGCTGAATTGATGCGCTTTCTACGTGTTGAGTACGGGGTTTTATTCATGCATCTATAATGGGTTTAACTCCCTTTTCAAAGACCCTCACTGTTATCTGCGGAGTTATTTCTCCGGATTGTTGCTAAAAGTGTCGTGGGCTTTATTTTGTCACAATAAAATAATCAGACAAGGTACTTATTCCCTGTATGTCTCTGTGTTCTTGCTCATACGCCAACAACTTTACCCGCACGCTCGCTCCATCAGCTCACCCCCGCGTGCACGCAAACACGTCACATACTCTTCAATGCACTGATCGCAATTCCAAAAGGGTAATATTGTCAGTGCCCGTGACTGTGGTTCTCCTGCCTCTGTCTGCGGACCTCCCTCACTGTCCAGTAATCGCGAACGGTCTCTCTGTCAGTCACAATATCATTCACTGCATTTCTGGTGCATCCATCGATAGCCGTGATACTGACCAAGTCATGGATCTATAATAGGCATGACCAGAGACCGTTCCAGACAACAACACAATTTTGACTTTTAAAGTCGTAATTTTGACTTTCTGTATGCTTTTTTTTTTTTTTTTACATGGCGGAAACGGGCTTCCATACTTTGAGATGTTTAAAGCTTGGGAAAACTTTTTGTATCCAAATCCGGCTTTAAACTTCTCCACAACAGTATCTCGGACCTGCCTGGTGTGTTCCTTTGTCTTCATGGTTCTCTCTGTGCTTTAAACAGAACCCTGAGACTATCAAAGAGCAGGTGCATTTATACGGAGACTTGATTACACACAGGAGCATTCTATTTATCATCATCAGTCATTTAGGACAACATTGGATCATTCAAAGATCATATAATAATATTGCACGCCCCACTTTTCAGTTTTTTATTTGTTAAAAAAGTTTAAATTATCCAATAAATTTCGTTCCACTTCACGATTGTGTCCCACTTGTTGATTCATGACAAAAAAATAAAATGTTATATCTTTATGTTTGAAGCCTGAAAAGTGGCGAAATGTTTAAAGGTTCAAGGGGGCCAAATACTTACTGTATTGCTTTCATGGATGCATCTGAAAAGAGACAAAGGCATTGACACTGAGGCATTGAAGCGACCGTTGCCATTTCATCCACGGGCCTTTTAGACCCTCCGGAAGAGGAGAATCCCACTCCGTTGTCTGAAGCGAGTTCTCTCAGAAGCAATCGTCCTCGAATGACGACTGGGGACAGAAACCCGAGTGGGTCAAACACACTGTTAACAGTCGAAAGAACCCCTCTTCTTGTGTAGGGAAATGTATTTAATGACTGCAAATAAAATAGTTACCTCCCGAAGGTTTCAGAGGGACGTGCTTGGCAGGTAACAGCTAGGCTAGCTAGCTGTTTCATGGTAATTTCCGGGTTTTTCGCGATCGCTTTTTGTCACATCAAAACATTATTTTTGTCATGAATACGTTAACAGCAAATTCTGAAACATTTCCGTGCGTGTTTGTTACGTATGTATATGTATAAAGTTTTGACCGATTACCGTTTAATGGTGTTGATTAATTGATGTGTATTTGTTTATTGAGTGTGGCTAGCTCGGCTAGCTTCTCTACACAGACAAGTGTGCAGAGAAACTGCACAGTGTAGTAACAAGCGCTGATAGCTTGTACTTGCAGAGTAATGGCTATAGTATTTTACACACCTGAATTACAAACAGAGATTGCATTGGGGCTGCGGTCATTATTGGTTTGAGAGTTCTGTTATCAAGAAAAAATGATCGGAAGAATTGCATTCAAGTCAACGGAGTGCTGCTGCCGTGAGGAGCTGTATAATAAATTATAATGAAATATTAGAATATATTCTAATGTTTAAATTAATAACAATTAACATTCGGACGCGAAACTAGCGGTATTCTTTTACTTATATGTTGTGTTAGCAGTGTGTTGCTGTAGTGCCATTTCATCAGTGATTGTTGTACGGTTTACAAGAAGTTGCACTAATGCTAATGTTAGCATACGTATCAGATCGCAAATAAAACTAGGTGGCTCCGTGGGATGAGAGCGTAGGGGAAATGAGAAGCCTGTGAGCGAGTTGCGGGGCGGTGCTAAACCTTCAAACATTGCAGAAACGGGTATAGCGCCATTAATGAGGAGATTTACTTCCTGCCCCCCGGAGCACTCTCGCACTGCTGCGTGACGTCGGATGCAACCCAGCAATACTTGTGTATTGTATATGACAAATTGTAATCATTTTCATTTTAATTTTTACACCTTAGAAGTGTATGTTGATTTTTATAATGCCTTACTCTTTACTCTCTTCTTTGACTGTTGCACCAAGTGCTAGGGCTAAGCGGTATGCAATATAAATTTTGCCCACGGTAGAGATTTTTGTTATAGTAGTAGTAGTAATCTTTATTTATATACTGCCTTTTCACTGCACATCGGAGTCTCAAAGCGGTTTACAATTGTGATTTTTGGGAGAGGGGGTGCCAGTACAGGAGGCACATGCCAGACCTATTGTACATATTTTTAGTGGTAGGGGAAACCGGAGCACCCGGAGGAAACCTACGCAGACACGGGGAGAACATGCAAACTCTACTCAGAAAGGCCCTGGTCCAACCGGGATTCGAACCCAGGACCTTCTTGCTGAGAGGCGAGAGTGCTATCCACTCAGCCACCATGCCGGCATATTGCGATAGGTCATTATGTCATCAAATTGCACAGCTCTGATGCCAGCAGAAAGGACCAAAACAAACCGCATTCGGCAGCATTAGCCTAGCATTATTAGCCTAGAAGACACCACTGGAAACAGTGAACAACCATGCACAGCATTCACACCATGTTTCTGTCTCTGTATTGTTGTCACAGCGGCCCCAGCAGAGGTAAATACCATAGACTGTATCCTCGTGGTAGATTTCGCAGTCCAGGTCCGGTTTGAGGTCTTCGTTGATATTCATGGTCCATGGTGGGAAAGTGTCGAAGACGGTCTGGAAAGCTTCTATAGTGAGTGTGTGGACGGTGCAGCCTCCCACAACTTGGAATCTCTCTCGTGGTGATTTTGATTCAAAAACTCTGACTGCTGCAGCTGTTCTGTAAACAATCATCTCACTGGTCCACTGCCTCAGATCCACAGACTCAGACCTCCCAACTCCATCAGATAGAAAAGAAGGCAACATTTCTGTAAATGAGACTAAATGGCTTTGGCCCATTGAAGTGTCTTGTTTTACCACAGAATGTACACAAATTGGATAATAAACATTTGATTCTAACATCTCATATATGATCATTTATTGCAGTGCAGTAGTTGTTTGTGTTTGGGTGAGGGTTGTCGATGTGCAGTACCTCCAAAAACATGAGGCAGATGATGAACCGCATCTCTAGTATGGTGTTGGGGCTGTTGCGGAAGCCCACAGTCGCCATGCTGCTTACTGTGTAGTAAAGGGCCCCTGTATAGGCATCCGCCTCCGAGAGACCCCCTGACCTGTTTTCAAAGTATGGCCGCTCCAGTCCCTCTGCCATTTGGGCCAGCCACCCTGAGGAGGAGAGAAATCATGACAAATCATGCTCTACTGGCCTCGTAGAAATCTTTTCTTCTATCCAGGAGTTAAACACCTCCACACAATAAGTCACTCACGCCAGGATGGGTTTGACCTTTCTTTTATATGGCAGGTGAGAAACTGTAAGCACAAAATACAGTGTACATGAGTACCAAATGTAAAATAAAGAGCAGCACGCTTTGTAGCTAACATTAGCTCAAGTGCTACTGAACAAGCATGGCCTAATTAAACTGTAAATAGTTCGTTTTTATGTCTCTATAACTTTTTATAACACATATCTAAATGAATTGACCTAACCTAATCAACTAAACCTAAATATACTTACAGGGAATGCCTTTTAAACTCAACTGTAGAAAACAGGGCCAGTGCTCTAAAACAGCAAAACTATGACCAAGATAACAGACAAGTCAGAACACATGCTGTACAAATCATGACATTTGTTTTTGCTAAACTAGAGTCCTAATTAGGGGTGGGCCATTCATTTTTCCGGGTGTCACGTTAAGATATCGGCATATTGTGGAGGTTCGTACACGGACACACACACACAAACATAGAAAAACATAATACAAAAGCTACAACCTACAAAAGCTTTAAAATGACCTTTAAAACAATCTACTGAATAGATGTAACGTATTGCAGTACCCCTAAGTGGCCGGTAACAATCCATTCAACAGTAGTTTTCTTTTACAAAACAGTGGATTCTCCATCAACAGATTTCTTTGCAGTGTTGCCAACTCCTCAGTAAGGAAAGTAGCTATTGGCTGTCCCAAAAGTCGCTAGAAGTCGCTAAATGACGTCATCGCCTAATTTGCATAATTTGCCATTTGCAAATAACTGTAACGGACGCTGTAGGAGAGAGGAATAAGGTCGTGGGAGAGACAAAAGTGAGTAAAAACACCCTAAATATGTTTAGAACTACAAATGTACAAAAATAATTTCAACATTAACAACATTTAATGATTTTAATGCTTTGTCTAGATCCACATTACACACATCAGTTTTGTCCTGTATTGTTAAATGTTATAACAGCAAATGTAATCAAAAGATTGTTATGTAGGGTGAAATTGCTAGCTCTACAACCAACCCTCCTCCTTTATCCGGGCTTGGGACCGGCAAAGTGACCCAAAAGACACACTCTGGCAGAGTTACTTAGGTTTATTTTTGTAAGTTTTTTTTTTTTTCATAGTTTGGCATAACAAATGATTTAATGTGACCCACTACTGAGAGAAAACAGAGTCACGGACAGAGCTGCCGCGGATGGAGTGGGGGGTAGTGGGGGGTGGCGGTGGTAGGAGTGGCCGGGGAGCTTTGGATGTGTGGTGGTGGTGGAGCTGAAGTTCAGTCTGCAGCAGCCTGAAAACTCCCTGTGCTTTTGAGTCTCCTCTCTCTCTCTCTGCTCCGCCCATAGACTGTAGCTGGGACTGCTGCGCAAGGCTACTGTGAGACTGGCCGCCTGTAAGTGCTTTGGGACGGGGGAGGGGCTCACGTTGAGGACAGCAGAACAATACGTGCTTCACGAGTCTCCAAAACACCAGATAAGTCGCCAAAACACCAGATAAGTCGCCAAAACACCAGATAAGTCGCCAATAACACCAGAAAAAGTCGCTAGATTTGTCGCTAGTCGCTTTTTTGAAAAAAAGTCGCTATAGGGGTCTGAAAAGTCGCTAAATCTAGCGACAAAGTCGCTAAGTTGGCAACACTGTTTCTTTGTTTGACAACACCCCTCCAGACCTACCAGGGGCGCAGTGAAAAGGGAGGAGCAGGAGCGAAAAATCAACGCCCACAGGGACGTTTGTGCGGCAACCAATCAGAGAGCAGCAAAGTAGTCACGCGGACTGAGCGAGCAGACTGAAAATACTCATAAACAGCCAAAACAAGCAGTGTTGCCAACTTAGCGACTTTGTCGCTAGATTTAGCGACTTTTCAGACCCTATAGCGACTTTTTTTCAAAAAAGCGACTAGCGACAGATCTAGACAAAGCATTAAAATCATTAAATGTTGTTAATGTTGAAATTATTTTTGTACATTTGTAGTTCTAAACATATTTAGGGTGTTTTTAACTCACTTTTGTCTCTCCCACGACGTTATTCCTCTCTCCTACAGCGTCCGTTACAGTTATTTGCAAATTGCCAATTATGCAAATTAGGCGATGAAGAAGATCTGTACACGAGAAGCCGCTAGCATAGCTCTGTTAGCATCAGAGCCGGCCGGCTACTTCCGGTACTTCCGGCTCGCGTCAGGACGTTCTGGTGTGAAGTCCTGTGCGTCTGAAAACTAGAGAATGCGCGTCTGGTGAGCGGGGCTTCCGCGTTTCAGCGTTGGCGGTCTGAAAGCACCATAAGAGACACTATGAATAAACTGAAAACGTACCAAATCGATAACGAAAAACAAAATGGACAAATTCCAACGTGACAGAGTGGACTACTCGCAGGGCACTATCTACCAATGGCCTCAAACACGAGCATTCTTAAGGAGGAGACGCACTCGCACAAGGCAAGGCAAGTTTATTTGTATAGCACAATTCATACACAAGGCAACTCAAAGTGCTGAACAAAACAAGAAAGCATTAAAATCATAAATAATCACAGAACATTAAAAAGAAAGATACAAATATAAAATCCCTCAGTTGTATGCACAGCTAAACAGAACTGTCTTTAACCTGGTTTTAAACATTGTCAGAGAGGAGGCCTGTATCACATCTTCAGGAAGACTGTTCCAGATTTTAGCAGCATGAATCTGAAAAGCAGCCTCCCCATGTTTAGTTCTGACTCTGGGCACTAACAGGAGTCCAGTCCCTGTGCTCCTCAGAGTCCGGGCTGGTTCATATGGGACTAACATGTCACTAATATATTTTGGTGCGAGGCCATGGAGAGACTTGTACACAAGCAGAGCTGTTTTAAAGTCTATTCTTTAGACTTTAAAGTGCCAAGCAGCACCTCAGTCATCGAAGAAGATGAGCCTCTACCTTCAACTTCTGAGACTCCTTTTTTAGACAGGACTACACGCTCAAGAGGAAGAAAAAAACCCACCGGGGCACGCCCGGACGATGTCGAACTCCGCCCTCACCGTCCGCACCGGACCCAAACTTACAGACAGTGATCAACATATCAGGTACCCCCCTCCCTCCGGATGCCATTAACGTCCTAGCCAAAGGCCTTTCTTATGCCCCCACACACAACACCAACCTCTTTCAAACTAAAGTAGATCTATTCAAATTTTACCGCAATTTACATTTAAGTGCTTGGTACAATAACAGAACAACTGAGATTTCCACCATTTCTTATACCCCATTTTTACCTGTCAACAACAACTCATGCTTGAGTGCTTTCATTTTGAAGACAGACCATGACGTTGAAAAACTTTTCATCTCCAACAGGAAGAAGCAAGCCCCCAACCTGAGTTGTGGTGAACAACAGGCACTCCATTGGCTCAAATCCAACCAGGATATCATAATAAAACTAGCAGACAAAGGGGGAGCCACTGTTATATGGGGTAAGCAACAATATATTGATGAGGCCCATAGACAGCTCAAGGACACACGGTATTACACACCCATCCCTAGTAATCCCAATGAAAACATCAAACAGGAACTAACAACACTAATAGATGAAGCTTTGGAACACCACTGGCTCTCGGAAAATGAACACAGCTACCTATTACCCACTTATCCCAAAACGACTACATTCTTCCTACTCTCCAAAATACACAAATGCCTCACTTCACCTCCAGGTCGACCCATCATAAGCTGTATTGAAACTATCACTGAGCCAGCTTCTAAATACATTGATTATCTCATTAAACCACTCATTCAGATTCAGATTCAGTTTATTTGCCATTTGTAGTAAAAACACCACATAGGAATACATTAGCAAAAGTCACCAGTTTGCACGGACAAATACAGACATAAAACAACATTAAAAGACAGAAATAAAACAAATAAAACAGTAAACAAATGTCACTGTGAAATCGATCGACTAAAACAGTTTCAAAACAAGTGCAAATCATTAAAGTGCTCTGTTCACACTGATAACAGCTTGCGGATAAAAAACTGTTAGCGTAACGAGATGTCCTGCATCTCAGAGAGCGATATCTTCTGCCAGAGGGAAGAAGCTGGAACATGGCTTTCCCAGGGTGGCCAGAAGAGTCATTGACAATCCTAAGAGCTTTGTTTAAAAGTCTGGATTTATAAAGAACTTCCAGAACAGGAAGCTCACAGCCCACGGTCCTCTTTGCAGAGCGGAGCACCTTGTTTAAAGCTCTCTTTTCTTTATCTGTGATGTTTCCAAACCACACAGACACAGAACCAACAAGTAAACTCTCAATGGTGCAGCGATAAAAGTTAAGCAGAATCTTAGAGTTAGTGGTAAAAGTTTACGCAGAAAGTAGAGACGCTGACGAGCTTTCTTAACGACTCGGTCAGTGTTTTTAACCCATTTCAGGTCGTTAGACAGAGTTAAACCCAGAAACTTGCACTCCTCTACGATCTGTACCTGGGAGTTGTCGATTACGACAGGCAAATGAGAACTATTGCGACTGAAGTCGTAGACCAGTTCACATGTTTTCGATGCGTTCAACTGGAGGTTGTTAGTTTTACTCCACTGAACCACATTTTGTATCTCTGCTCTATAAGAGTATTCATCATTGTCACTGATGAGACCGATGATGGTGGTGTCATCAGCATATTTGATGATCAAGTTTGAGTCAGAGGAGGACACACAATCGTGAGTGTACAAAGTAAAAAGCAAAGGACTCAAAATACATCCCTGAGGAGAACCAGTGCTCACAGAAACAACATCAGAAAAACAGTCATTGATTTTCACTCTGAGATCTGTCTGTTAAAAAGCTAAAAATCCATTTACACATGGCAACACTTAAACCGAGAGACATGAGCTTTTCAAGCAGTTTACCTGGGACAAGGCAGTTAAAAGCAGAGCTATAATCGATGAAAAGCATTCTCGCGAC